CCGGCGCCCGGGCCCGAGGGCACCATGACCGCGCTCAAGCTGTCCCTCATGGCCTTCAGCTTGGTCTTCTGGGCGGCGGGGCTGACCATGCTCATCGTCGGCCTCTGGGCCAAGGTGGCCCTGGGCAGCTACCTGGCGCTGTCGGCCAACGGCTGCCCCAGCGCCCCCGCCGTCCTCCTGGCCACCGGCGCCGCCGTCCTCATCTGGGCCTTCCTGGGCTGCCTCGGCGCCGCCACGGAGCACCGCGGCCTCCTGCGCGCCTACGGCGCCTTCCTGACCGCCGTGCTGGCGGCCGGGCTGACGGCCGGGCTCTCGGCGCTCCTCTACCGCCGGGACGTCGCGCAGGGCTTCCGGGAGGGGCTGCGCCGGGCCCTGCTCGCCTACGGGGAGGATGAGGGGACGGCGGACGCCCTGGACGCTTTGCAGCGCGCCTTGTCCTGCTGCGGCGTGGAGAGCTACCGCGACTGGCTCGCCTCGCCCTGGGGGCTGCGGCAGAACGGCTCGGTGCCCCTCAGCTGCTGCCGGGCCCGCCGGGGTTGCCAGCGCCGCCCGCCCGGCGCACGCGGCCTGCACCGCGACGGCTGCTTCGGCAAGGTGTCGGCCTTCGTCAGCGCCAACATGTTCTACCTTGCCACGGCGGCCCTGGGGCTGGCGCTGCTGCAGCTCGTCGGCGTCGTGCTGGCCTGCCTGCTGGCTGCCCGCATCCCTGCCCGCCTGATGGGCATCGCCGCCCCTCGCTGAGATCCCCCCCTCCCCCCCCAGCACCGTTCCTGCCCCTCATCCCCTCCAGCTCCCTTCCTTCCCCCGGTCCGGGGTGCACCCCCTCGGGCAAGTCCTCCCTTCACGTTCCCCACTTCCACCGGAGCTTCCTCCTCCTCCAGACTCCATTCCTCCCCTGGAGCCCGTGTCAGGTGCGCCAATGCTACAGGCATCTCCGCAGCCCCTCGGAGCTGGGAAGGTGCCTCCTGGCCTGGCTGTGTCCCCTGCAGGGCAGCAGGTCCCCACGGCCCCCCGGAGCCTCTGGACCACTTCCGCAGAGAGTGGTGGCGGCACGGACAGACATCGCCCTCTACGTCAAGCTGCCGATGTAAACATCCCGAGGCACTGGAATGGGGGCCAGGAAAGAGGAGAGGGTCTGGGAGAGCGAGAGAGGTGTCTCTCAGCGTTACGCCGGGTGAGTGGTCTTCTGAGACGACTGGAAAATGATGGTACTGGAAGACTGCTGGGGTGCACAGGGGGCAGGTCTGGTCCGGGGACACCCAGGTAGCCGTGCCAGCAGCTGCCATTGGGGGCTGCTTGAGAGACTGCCCAGCAGCGTGCACCCCACGGCCACAAAGATTTCCTGCCTTCGCTGTGTGCAGGTTCAAGCTGTGTGGCTGCCACGGGTGATTTTCCCGCTGTGGTGTTTCCAACGCCGATCTCCATCTAAAGGTGGAGCTGCAGCTCCAAGTGCTCCTCCCTCCTTCAGGATGTGCCTGTCGTTTTAGCCAGTGCGTCGTCGCTGGTTATGTCTTTGCAGGGCTGAGAAGACCTTAAACCTGGGTCCATGTCGTACAGGAGGATGGCAAAAGCTGTAGGATCAGACCTGACTAGGGGTGGCAAGAGGAGGGAAGGGCACATTGCCCTTCAGAAGTTTCTTTTGGACTTTTGCTGTTAACTTCAGGGTGAGCGGAACAGACTCTCTGTTTGAAAGGGTTTCTGAAAAACAGCCCTCAGACTCTTTGATATTTTTCCTTTTTCAAAGGATCTGTCTCTGAAATGTGCCCCCACCTACGTTTTTGAAGCCAGATCTATACAACTTGAGAGTAAACAGAAGACCCCAAGGCTAGCCCTGGGTGTGTGTACATCAGACAGCACTGTAAATCTACAGGGTTTTGTTTTTCCCAACAGTTCTGAGCTTGCATTCAGAGCTTTAGGAAAAACAAGCCCTGCACTTTAGAGGGTCCTGAACTTTCGGAGCTTCATGCCCCCCTGCTTCCTCCCACTTCCTTAAAACCTGTGAACTGGACTTTGACATGTTTCTCTGCCTCACAGCACAAAGGTGTGCTGAAGACCCCCCTTACCCAGCAAACTGGGGTGGGAGGATTTCAGAAAAGAACCAAGAACTACAAAGGAACTCCAGGATGTGGCGTCTTTTAGGAACGTGACAAGCAAAGCTGTGGAGAATGGTCAAATGCCAACAAATATGAGCAGGACAGAAAATCTTGAATGAAGAAGATGACTGATAGCTTCACGGGGGCAGTGGAGTACCTTTGGGGGAGAGGGCACTAGCAGTGAAGCTCTGGTGCCTGGGCAATGAGTGCATGGGGTGAGGTGCGAGGAAGGCTTGGCTCATTTTCTTCCTTGCTTGCCTTTACTACTTTTGACCACATTTCTGGCTTTCTCTTTTCCTCCCACCGAAGAGCGACTGCTTGGCTGCAAGGACAAGTCAGGCAGAGCCTCTGTCCCACCGGTGTGGGAGGCGAGAGCCTCTTCTCCCGCTCACTTTTGGGAGATGGAGCTGGCCCTGCCTGCTGGGGCAGCCGTGCCCACTCACCCTGGTGAGGCAGGCAAAGGGAGAGCAAAGTCATCGCTGCCTCTCCGTGGGGAAAACCAGGTCAAATGCAGAGCTAACTGTCCTCCTGCTGTTTAAATCCTCACAGTTTCTATACGTAAAAGAACCCGGCCTTCATATTTCTTTGCTTCCCCCCTGCTGAAAATAAGCTTCTAGGATTTTGTTTGACAATGCTCCTGGGGGTGAAACCAGGGCAAAATGTGTAGTCACTTGGAAAGATTCTGATTTTAGGTATCTTTACTGCTTTTAATGGTTTATACCATTTAAAAATACCTGGAAATGCTACCACTTCCCTGTCTTTTGTGATAGTGAAGCCTTCTTTTATTTTCTCCCACCAGTCTTCTTTTTTGGGAGCGGGATTGCTTAATTCTATGGTGAATTTTTTCCACCAGCAGGATTGTAACTCTTTCTGACCAGGGAACAGTGCTGCAATTTGGACTGCTAGTAACAGTCAACTTGCTGGACTGCTCTCATGAAGGTGCAGTATTCCTGCAGAGCGAAGCAGGCTTGTCCAGGGAACATAAAGAGGATACCCCAACTTGTATTAACAATTGCACAAGCTTGATGGTAGTTGAGAATGTAAAGAAAACCCAAACCAAAACAATGTAAATAGGTGTTTCTGTGGAAAAGTGACGTTTTACTCTCCACATATGCAAAATAGTCTAAAGTTTAAATGAAGTTTCAGCTGAGGACTGCTGAATCCAGAATGGTATTTACAAGTGAAAGTCTGCAAGGACAAGCAGGGAGTATCCAGCACTCACTGGAGTCCAGGCACACAAGCTGATTTTACTATATTTATAAAAATTATCTTTGCTCATGGAAATAATTTCCTCGGGGTCAGTTCTCAACCAAAGCTCACAAGATCAAAGGTATAAAAAGAGAAACTGGGTTTTCCTTTTTGGAGAGCGATTCTAGTCCGCATGGATGGAGCTTAGGATTCTGGACTGACAGTCATGTTGTTCCGGGGTGTTAGCTGTGGCTTTATCTTAACTCTCCCTTTTTTCAGATATTAGGTGGCTGTTTTAACTACGATAATCATGTTCCAGGTGAACAGCGCAATGTAAACAGGCTTCTCAGTCGTTTGACTATTCATCTGCATAAATGAACTCTGGAATGTGTTGGGACTCTCTCTTTATAGAGAAAACAATGCTTAATTTTTTAGCGCTGATGCTTATTGTTTTACATAATATAATTTTTCATTTTTGTTTGTAAATGTCCCTGTATTAACACCACTTTTTTTGGAGTTATGCACTAGTGGAACTCCTGTTATTTTCTGGAAATCAATGTGATGTTGTACAGTTTTAACAATGGGCAAAAAGTATAGTTTGTATGGGAAATGGTATTTCAGAAATAAAGTTTACCAACTGCTATGAGCAAAACAGGTCACTGTTTCGAATCCGATTCAATATTCGTATTTCTATATGTCTCCACATGGTTCAGCTAAGTGCAAGTAAAATGGAGTGTACACAGAAATGTAAAGACAGAAGCATATTGTGCTTTTTTTATTCAGAAGATCCACTAAAGAAGGAATAGAGCAGGCATTGTGGAGTGTGTGGGAAAGGTACATGGAGTTGCACTGGACTTATTATAATAGTCTTCTTTATTGGAATCAATAAGCTCTGAAAATTTGCAAGAATGTGGCATTGCTCTTTTTTGTGCTCCACTGATTACTAAAATTATTTCTGACCCTGATTACTTTATATGACACATAGCAGTCAGTCAGAATGAAGGATGCTGTTAAAACATATTCGACCAAAAACCTTGCATAGATATTCACTTCAGTGGATTTGTTGTGTTTTTAAGTTGCTAGGAATATCAAAATAGGAATGATAAGACCAAGTTTTAAGCATACCCGTGCATGTTTGTATGGTGGCCAGGCCTGAATCTCAGGACATCAACTTAATGTAATGAATAATTCAAAATGTAAACCATCACTCTGCACTCTTGGCCTACACTCACTGAAACAGGATAAACCTTGGCAATGGCCATGTAAATGTTAAGTATACTTATATCACCAAAGATTTAGTGGACTGGGTGTGAGTTTTAGTTGAATGTTTATTGCCAGTTCCTAGAATAATAATAAACAACATTAACTTTTGTAGATGTATGGAAGAAATGTCATTTGTCTCTAATTAATTCCCAGATTAGCAGATTCCCAGCAGCTGTTTCAGTTGTCTTGAATTCTTTGTGCTCAGTGACCAAATTTTAATTTAATTTTTAAAATTGACTAGGTTCAACATTGATTTTGTTCTGGATGGTCAGAATGGCTGTAACTGGAAAATGTTACACCGGACAGCACCATCTACCCTTTGCTGGAATATGTATTTGTTTTCTGTCATCCTCTTCAGCGTAAAGTCACTCATCAAAATGGTATACTTTAATAAAAGCTCATCCGATCTTTTACAAAAGGCTAATCTCAATTTTAACATCACTGGTTATTTAATCAATTAAAAACCATACCAAATTAAGTATAGGAGCAAGCTGTGTTGCAGTCATAGAAACAGTAGCTCTGTTGTTTGGACAAACTGAGATTTAGGATTAACAGGGTGGTAAGATTAGATCCTTGTTATGAAACAAGGACTATTTTATAACATGGATCTAGAATGCCAAGAATATAACTCTTTAAAACTTCAAAAGTGTTTTGATATTTTGTCCAACATCAATTATTTACTGTACTTGTGTGTAGCTGAACTTCACATTACAGATAACCAGAACTAAGAATGGCCTTTATAACAGATCATGAATTTTTAGAGAATGGCTTTTCTGGGGTCAGAAAACTTACACAATAGCAGTAAGACTGGATAAATCAGAGAAGAAAAAAGATTTCTTTTGTTAAAAAATAGTTTTCATTTTTTTTATGTATTTATCTTATAACATTATCTTCTTTCTTCTGGAGAAAATACAATCACTACCTTGGTGACTTCCACTGTTAACAGCTGATATTGTATAAAGCCCTTGACAAGAAGAGTACTCATCTATTATTTCCACAGATAAATTACAGTAAAGATGCCCTTTTTCATAAATCCAGCTACCTACAGGAGATTTTGATAAATCAGATAGCATGGCAACAGAGCTGGAAGTTCAGTGTTTTCCCAACTGAATATTTTGGGTTCCAATAAAAAAGGCACATCCATGGAAAGTTTGGGGGGTCAAGTTAAGAGTCTTACCACAGTCTTGTTCTGAAGCA